AGCCACCTTACAAAAGCTATTTCTCTTCCCCTAAAAAAATCCCAGGTTCTCACCAGTCTCTCCTCATGCGCTTCTGTTGGGGGCTCATGTCATGTCGTGGAGGGGAGAATCTCTCTCGTCGGCCCCTGTCGTAGTCCCGGTACTCCCCTCTGCTGCGACGCTCTCGGCCCCGGTCCCATTCCCGAGCCGAGGGCCGCCAGTAAACCACAAAAACAACAAAAGTATATAATAACGTGCAAATATACAAGCCCCTCAAGACTAAAAAAAACCCCACCTCCATCCGATATATCTAGATATCAAGTGGACAAAATAAAAAAGTCTATCTCTATTCTTTCATATTATGCTCTTTAGTTTATTTGGTAGTCACAAAATACACTGTTTACAGTAATAATTTTGATGGGCGCATTAAACATCATTACAAGGATGCAGACAGAAATATGCATAAAAGATATCATGAATAAGTTCTTAATCTTGAAAGTACAATGCTTACATTTTACATTTAATTTAGCCCTATTTTTTATTATTATTTTAGATCTGTAATTATTAGCTTTTTCAAGTAATCAAGTGTTTTACATTTTATTAACATTTGATATTTCTAAATTCAGCAAAACATTCCCTCTTAAGTTCTAAATAAAGTGAGAAATACAATCTAATATGACGGAGTAAACTTCTGACTTGAAAATGTAGAAAAGAAAGAGTTTTACATGTTCTGATTATGAAAGTGGCATCTGAAATTGTGTGTAGGTTCAGTAATTCTTTTCATCACCTTTAAAGTAAAATAATCGATCATAAACATCTGAGGCTGAGAAAAATGCTCATTTTAGAAAAAAAAAAAAAAAAAAAAAACTTTCAGATGGCACTTAAAAGTTCTCTATTTATTTTATTTATTTATTTTTTTACCTCATTTTGTAAATGAATATTTTTATCCATTACTCAGTAAATATAGGCAATATATTTTGGAGCATTTTAACAACCGTCTTATTAAACAGATATATTTATTAAAATAATAGTTTAGTCATTGATCATTTTTAGAAAAAGAAAAATAATAGTTCCATTTAAGTGAAATGTTGAAAAAGAAATTACAAAGTGCAAAAATTCAACTAAACGGTATATGTTTATCCTGATTAAGCAAGTGTGTGAGTCACATATACATAAATTTATATAGTACACAAATTATATCAAAAAGAATTTTTACTTTGGATGCAATTACTTTTTGATGGGAACTAATTTTTACCTTATCATATTGCCCAGCCCTACTTCCACCTTAATTATAAATAAATGATTCAATCACAGTCTAGTTCGGCTCAGCTGGGCTAGTAAAAGGGCTTGCAAATTCACCCTGGACCCCTCACACCCAGCACACTTCCTGTTAGAACTGTTATCGTATGGTCGGTGCTAAAGAGCACCGAGCACAAAAACAGCCAGACACCGGAAAAGTTTCTTTCCTCAGGCAATCTACCTCATGAACACTTAAATATTCCCCTACTGTGCAATAAATCTGTGCAATACTTTCATACGCACTTGTACAAAGCACCATATAACAATATACAATCCGATACTTTCTCCATATGCATTTGTACACATCACCTTATAACCTGAATATTTATATACTCTACACCATAACTTTTCAATCCAGATGGATGGGGCAACCATTACTTCATCCAAAATGGTGAAAAGCCTTGGAGTAACGATTGATGACCAACTAAACTTCTCTGACCACATCTCAAGAGCTGCTCGATCTTGCAGATTCGCACTCTATAACATCAGAAAAGTCCGACCCTTCCTATCTGAACATGCAACTCAACTCCTTTTTCAAGCTCTTGTTCTCTCCAAACTGGATTACTGCAACTCTACTAGCCGGGCTTCCAGCTAACTCTATCAAACCTCTTCAACTGCTCCAGAATGCAGCAGCACGAGTGGTCTTTAATGAACCTAAAAGAGCACATGTCACTCCGCTGCTCATCCGTTTGCACTGGCTGCCAGTTGCTGCTCGCATCAAATTCAAAGCTCTGATGTTTGCTTACAAAGCGACTTCTGGCTTTGCTCCTCCTTATCTGCTCTCGCTTCTGCAGATCTATGTGCCCTCCAGAAACTTGCGTTCTGTGAATGAACGTCGCCTCGTGGTTCCATCCCAAAGAGGGAAGAAATCACTTTTCCAAACTCTCGCATTCAATCTGCCCAGTTGGTGGAATGAACTCCCTAACTGCATCAGAACGGCAGAGTCACTCGCTGTCTTCAAGAAACGACCAAAAACTCAACTATTTAGTCTCCACTTCACTTCCTAATCTGCAATTGCCTCTCTGACTCCACCACTAACTGTACTACAAAATAAAAAAAGACTAATGTTTTGCTTCTTACACTTTACACACCTGAAACTTGCCTACAGCACTTATTCATTGTTGCTCTTATAGTTGTGTAAATTGCTTCCTTGTCCTCATTTGTAAGTCGCTTTGGATAAAAGCGTCTGCTAAATGACTAAATGTAAAACAAATCTGTACGAGCAATTCAACAACATCCAGAGCTTTGTGAGTAACTGCATCTCTGTTTAAAACTAATCCCTTGTGTGTGTAAGCACACGGTAATAAATTCTGACTATTATTTATATTTCACAAGATTAAATCTTTCTCCCTCACCGGTCATTCCAGTCATCCCTACGGCGGTCCTCTCTCTCCCTGGACCGGTCATAGTCGCTCCTCTCCCGGCGGAACTTGTCTCTGCGTCTGCGGTCGTACTCGTCATCACTGTCGCCCATTGTGTTTCAGTGAAGGCCGAGTTTCAGGAAAGCTTTGCTGTGATTGACACGAGAGTAGAAACAAAAGAGCTCAGTACTGATAGACAGTAATTGAGGCAACGTTGGTTTAATATTCGCACATTCTGACTTTCTCCTTAATAAAACATATTTTAGAGAAGTTTTATTTGCAAATTCAAAATCGGGAAGTCATTAGCAGCCAATGACTATCAGAGTACATAGTTCATAGTCAGTTATATCGTACTAATGATATGGAAGTCATACTTAAATGCGATTATAGACAGAATATACAAATTAGCTTGGTAAACAATATTGGAGCTGTTAACGAACGAATGTGCGATTAATAAACCAAGTTTACCTCAATGAGACTGTAAATATAGACAATTCACAAACCACATAACTTTCAAATCTCTCCGCGTCACTTATACACAGACTAATTTCATCTTAATGCAGATATGTTGATTAAACGCAGGATATAACAACAGTTACACAATTCTGATCGATTAACACACACAATAGGAAGCTAATGATTCTAGCATGCTAGCATTACAGCCGAGTCGAGCTCAATAATTCAGCAATCGGCGACAATAAGTGAAGTGTAAATGGATACACATTATAGAAATCGACAGGATATGTGATGTAATTCATGTTTATAGAAGAAAAATCAAATATTAGCAGCACACACGGCGTGTTTCATGAAGCCTCCGGCGAGTTATGTAAGGAAAACAGTAGATAACCGTAATAAAAAGGCACACATTCGATTATTATAATTTATAACACTTCTTTTATGTCAATTTGAGCCGTTAAAAATTAAAATAGCGTTGTAATGTCAAGTACTGACCGATTTCTTCGTTTTAAACGGCTTTAATCCGGCAAACTCCCGCCAGCGCACGACTGTCCACACGGAGCGGCACCGGAAGTTAGTATACGGAAGCACTGCGCCACTCAGTGACAGGATGACCGCAGTTAAAATCGCTTTTAAAATTTGTTAAAAGTCTTAAATGTTTAATTATTTAAGAATAATAACCATTATTGACCAGTGATATATTTGTTTGAGTTTTTATTTTAGTTGTTTAATGCACCAGACATTCTATTGGAAAAATACTCATAAGCTTTACATGTTAGTTTTTATTTTCATTTATAGCACTTCCTTTTTGCATTGACATTTACTATCAAATAATCTATGAACAGCAGCTACGCTACTTATATACTTTATTCTCTATTTCCACCTGCGGATACTCAGATCTAGAGTTATATAAACATAAAAGCTAACATGTAAATCTTATGAGTATTTCTAACAGCAGTGCGCCCCCAGAAAATTTTCTTAAGGGTGGCCAAGTAAGGCCACAACAAATCTTGGGGTGGCACACAAAAAATTATGAAATGTGTATAAATTGTGAATAAGGAGTAATGTTATATTTTTGTTTTTGGTAAAATAAATAATGAAGTTTTAATGAATTCCAATAATTACTCTTGAAATATTGTAATTTATTCCGCAAGTACAAGTGCAAACCAAATAAAAATCAATATTTAGTCTAAAACCTCTTTCAGGTAAGTTATTTCTTGTACAACATACAATATATGCCATGTCCAACATTATTGAATTATGAATAATGAATATGATTAATGAATGAATTAATAAACCAAACAAAACCCAACAAAATTTTGAAAAGCAGATTTCAAAATGCATCTAGTTATTTATTTTTGGATTTGTGGTTTTCAATCAGATGAAACACAACTTTCTCATTTCAAAAATAATAATTTCTTAATAAAAAGTGTGCAATCTCAGTGAATCAGCTTCGTCAGTGGCGCTGATCAATCCACAATAATTTAGTGGCTGCATTTTATTTATTCATTTATTTATTAATATCAGCAACTATCACCCCTTGGGGGCGCCCCTGTCTAACAGAATGTCTGGTGCATTAAACAACTAAAATAAAAACTCAAACAAATATATCACTGCTCGATAATGGTTATTATTCTTAAAACAGCAGATCCCCATTAAAAACAATCAAAGGGTTAATTTAATTCTCCAGTGGCGCATGACTGATGAACTTTAATAGAGGAAACAAATATATTAATAATCGGAAACGTCGATCTCCATGTAATAAACATCGACGTCAGACCCGCTCAATGTAATGCTCTGCAGTCCATCCGCCTCTCATACAGATCGGTGATGTCTTTCCGCGCCGCGGGAGAAGGAGGAAGGAATAATAATCAAACCGAGAGAGACGTGCTTCCTGCAAGACTCAGCAATGGATGTCAGTCGCTGCGTTAAAACGCCTCGGGAATGGCTCGGTGTGCTCTGCGCGCTGTTTTTACTCAGCGAGTCGGTTGTGTGTGACGGTGCAAACGGGAAGAGGGAGCAGGAGTGTTATAATTACGCCGGAGGACACGTTTATCCCGGAGAGGCTTTCCGCGTGCCCGTATCTGATCATTCCTTACACCTGAGCAAAGCCAAAAGTGTGTTACACTCATCTGCATATGCAAATTAGGCTGTGTGCATGTTGTGTGCGTGCATTTGAATTATAATAATTGCTTGCGGTGGTTTATTTTAGCTTTTAATCCTCCATTTTGATGCTATTTTGCATGCACATCTAACAGCTGTCAACTATTAGCATGCTAGCATTTGCACTAATTTAAGAAATATGAGTGATAATTTAATTTTAGGGTATTTTCTGTTGTTATAAAATGTATTTTTTTTAATATATTGAACCCTCCAGTAAGATTTTCATGTTTTTTTTCTGCATGTGAGTTGAGCTGATGCATTATCAGAATTATTTATTTACCTGACTTGTATTTGGGTTGTTATTAATATGTGCTGTTTATTATTTTAAAGTATGCATTTATTAATTTGTGTTGTCTGTGTGTGTTGTCTAAAACGGGGACAGTTTTTAAGGACACGTCATGAAGTATTGGTTGGATCCAGGCTGTTGAATCTCTTAAAGAGACAGGCCTCCACATGTTTATGCACTGAGAGTTCTGCATCAGTAATGGACTAATGATGGTATATACTTATTTTTCAGTCTCAAAACCAGCACCACACTGGGAAGGAACAGCAGTCATCAATGGAGAGTTTAAAGAGCTGAAACTGTCAGATTACAAAGGAAAATACCTGGTTTTCTTCTTCTACCCTCTGGACTTGTGAGCATGCTATTATTAATTTACTCAAGTCATATTTATACATAAGTGAGGTGAATTGTAGTTGTAATGTATTGTAACATTATAGACAACGTCAAATCAAAATGAGCACATTTACATGAAGAGTTCAGATGCAAAACCCTCTAAATCCATCAGACCTCTTTTTTTTGTGAATGAGCATTTTCTATCAGGCTCAGGCCCGGATTGGCTAATCGGGAGAACAGGGAGAATTCCTGGTGGCCGGTCCGTTTTTTGGCCATGAGGGCCGGTGTCCCTAGCTGCTTGCACTCTCAGCAGTTGCACTTTTTTAATTTATTTGTTTATTTGACCATAACCTGACTCTTTTTAATAATTTTTTTTGCCGCTGCTCCGCTCTTTTTATTAATTTTCTCGCAGCCCCGTGAACAAAATGCAGCCTGCAGGTTAATGATGATCATCATTTACCTGCGAGCTGCACCCCATTTCACCCCAAACAGCGGAACCTTAGTGAATATTAATTAATATTAATGAATATTACACCTGCTTAATGAAAATCAGATGATTCACTACATTCATATATCTGACTTAACTTGATCAGAAATCTAAAAAGGGGAGAAAAAGAATAAGGTAGGCATCAATAAAAGCAGATAACAGTGCAGTGCTTAACAGCGTCATCATGGTCTAGTGGTTAGCACGTTAGGTTTTGATGCCGCCGGTCTGAGTTCGAACCTCGCCAGAGTATAATATAATTTTTTCATTTTCAGTGTTAAGACATTAAATACTGTTTTGGTTACTTATGTAGGGGTACATTTTTTTGTGTGTGACGACCGTTACAAAGGACTGGATATCTATAAAAAATTAATGTTCTCCTATTTATGAAAAACATTTGAAGTTCTAAAGCAGCTGTGTCCTTGAAAAAGACGTGACAGTGTCATTTGAAACTGAATTGGAAATGACATTATTTTAATATAGTCAGTCGTCAACTGATGTGGGCCGGTCAGGCTTGAAACTCCAGAGCTAAAAAGGAGTCCCACTCCGGCCCTGATCAGGCTCCTCTGATTAGTTTCAGAAGTTTCATTTTATATGTAATAAGGTTATTAGCTGGATAATAAAATACCTTTTTTTCAAAAATGTCAGTTTAGTTTGTTTTTTAACAAGGTAGATTTTCTTTTGCGTCAAAACCAGCTAAATCCACTTGTACTTTTTTATGCAAAACCCTCCAAATCCACATATTGCGACAAGACTGTAATTAGTTGAAAACCACTAAAGATACAATTAGAAATTATCTTATCAAACATAAAACACATGCACAAACCACTTAGAACACACAAATCTGTCAAGTAAGTGGCGGTTCATTCCACTGTGGTACCCCCTGATAAACCATGGACCCAGCAGAAGGAAAGTAAATGAATGAAATCTTTCAAGTACGGAACCCCGGAAGGGACTGAAAGATTATGTGCATTTTAGTTCAGTTGCATTTACATTGATTAAACTCTGATGTGATATGATGGGTGACCTGTGTCTCGACCCCCACAAACTGATAGGTGTGAACTAAATGACCCTTTTACAATCTCAATAGCCGCGTTTCCACTATCGCGCCTAAAGCGAGCGAGCCAGGGCGAGCCAAGGCCAGTGGGGTTTCCACTGTCACTTCCGGGGCCTAATCGGGCCAAAGCGGGGCTTTCTTGGGGCCAGCGGCCGGCCTTTTTCGGCCCGCCGAATACCTTGGGCCAAGGAGGGCCAGCTGGGGCTTCGGGGCGGAGTGAAAGGAGAGGCGGGCAGTTTTCTGATCGCACATGAGTACATGCGCCAAACAAATAAAGAAATAAGGGAAAGAAAACATTTAGCCTTATAGTCAGGGGTCTTTTTGCGTATAATAAAGTAGTTTTAATTTATAGTGATGTTCTGTGCTGCGTCCTCCTTTATGTTTAAATAACGCATAATAATCTTTACACCATATTAAAAACACATCAGACAGTAAAGGTTTTCGAGAGTTTTTGTCAAGTTTAAAATGTTTGTTTGTTTGTGCACGTTTAGATGCCTGTATGTGTGTGAGACCGGGCAAAAGCGCTCCTTCACAGCTCTGTTATGCCGCGAGCGGCTTTTTTCTTTATTTATTTTGGAGATAATACACATATAAATACAACAGAAAGACATAAACTTAACAAAATACGTGCCCACTTTCGTAGACTTTAAACAATATATTGTCATATCTTGATAAAATAGCCTAAGGTATATTGAAATATAATTTAAAGAATTACAAATACCGGATATATATAAAATCACATTAAATAAATAAACCAATATAAAATAAACAAAAGCTAACTAAAACAATGTAGGTAGCCTATATACAATACATAAATCAAACCGTTTTAAAGCCACATATAGCCTAACTTTCATTTTGCAAAGACCTGTCTGAAAAAAAAAAAGATTTTCGATATTTTTTAAAAACAATAAACACCGGAGAAGGTTTGAAATATTTATATAAAGTAAATATTTATATAAGTAAATATTTATAAAGTATTTGGATACGATGATATTAATCAAATCGCGCAAACAGAGCATTATTTGGGTGAGTGAAAGCAGAATCTCCTATACCTTTTTTTCTGTCACTCAGTCCTGCGCAGCACTCGCTGCTTTAAAGGGCCATGAAACCCCCTCGTTTCAGCAGGGTGTTTTCACACCTCTTCTTTGGAAAAAGTCAGAAAAGTGGGCATGTCCAGCTCTGTTTAGGGGGGAGTGTCGGAGGAACTAAAGTGGGAGGGTGTGGGAGTGTCGATTTGGGCACGCGCGAGTTTCAGAGTCAAAATACACACACACACACACATACATACAGGAGAATGTGATGGTGTTAAACCTACATGGACATCTGTAGTCGAATTATTAGCCAAATTATTAAATAGTGGACTTTAACTGCAGTTTGGCTCTTTCATTCAGGGAATTCATTCATGCCCCTCGCGACACACGAGATATTTGATTCGAGGAGCTGCTCTAAGCGTGTATTTTTCATGCAATGTTTTATACCGCACGGCGAATGAGAGAAAAAAACCCTCCGCATTTCCCAGAAACTTAGATGCACACGACAGGTAGTGTCAGAAAGCCGCGCGTGTTATTCCGGTCACTAAATGCGGTAAAAACCCTACACGAGGTTAAAGTTTGGTTGTGGTGCTAACGTGTTTACACTCTGTGCAATAGTTTGTTAGATACGAACAAACTGAATAAACAAAGAGCACTGGTCGCTCACTTACCAAATCTGTAGAGACAGGACAATCACCAGCAACTAGAGCCGCGTCTTTATTAAGAGGAGACTACAAACGATTCCAGATCCCAGCGTTTGCAGATGAGAACAGCTCTCAGGTAAACAATAATCCTCCTTAGACACGTAAGTTAATGTTGTCGAGCGTCGCGTACACTGTAATCCACACGTGAGTCTGAGCTCTCACAGAGAGAAAATGAAAACGAAACTTAACTGCAGCAAACTATAAAAGCAACACTTCACGCTTGTTTTGCCAACACAACGTGGCGTCTCTGTCCTGAAAACACGGTGATAGTAATGAATATTAATGAAGTTGCACAATAGAGTGCGCTGATTGGTTTGACCCAAGCCATACTCATGCATTAATGCAGCACACTGTAAGACGTAATAAGGCACACTCTGGCACAGATGCCCAGTCTGCATGCTGGAATACACGCTATTATGTCATGACCGTGACGCAGCTTCAAAAATTCGTTTCAAACAGGAAGTACGAATTTGCTTAAAATAACGCAAAAACAACCAATTTACACTTTTTAGTGAAATATAGGTGTCCTAATAGTGTTTTTAGCAGTGTGGGACACATATACGACTGTCAACAGCTCAAAAAATGTGTTTTGGTGTTTCGTGACCCTTTAAACGCATATGGGGGAAAGTCCAAACACAAAATGTGTTCTAAATCCTCAAACAACTGTTTATGTTTTTGTATGACGTGGTTAAATTTATAAATGAAACTTTAAATGAGGAGTTTTAGTGAATAGCTGCCGAGCGCAACAAATATGGCTATATTTTATTAGGCTTCTCGCTCTTGTGCTGAAAACTTAACACGACTTCTATCAACACGAGGATGTTAAAAAATACATGCCATATCGAGTTATAAAGGAGAATTTCTGTGGCTTTATATTATGGATGTGTGCGCTCTCTGTGATGGGTCCCTGCGTTAGTGGCGAGAGCACTCGATGCACAATGCAGTCGGTCGGCGAGTAAACAAATGTAATGAATGAAAATACACAGGTCTGTGCGTACAGACATATAATGTACTGCTGTACAGTAACGTGTCGTTTGTTTGTTTCGGTTGTCTTCATTTTAATGGTTTCGTTTCGTGATGATTCTATGGTCTGCTTTATCTGCCTCATTCCCGCTGAAGTGGGCGGGTTGTGTGACGTTTGATTCGGGGACGTTCTGTGGGCGGTTTTTGCGTGACGCGCTGTGAGCTTTAGCCCGACAGTGGAAACGCGACATGATTTCAGCCTCATTTCTCAACCTCCCGGGCTATTGGCCCGCCCCGGCCCAATTAAAGCCCTGGCTCGCACTGGCCCGATAGTGGAAATGCGGCTAATGGGTATTAGCAAAACAACAGCTGAAACATCTGAAGAGGGTCCTGCTGAGCCTCGTAAACAGAATGGTTTGTTTGATGCTAATATAAAGTACTGTCTCACAGACAGTACTTTGGGTTAAGTTACTTGAAGACCGACGGGTTAACATCACTGCTGAGGAACTGCACTATTGATTGTCTTCAATAAAGTCTTCTCTCCGTAAGAACTTTGGTCAGTTTACTTATTTTATGTATTAGAGTAATCTAATACATTGGCGAGCCACCAAAGAACGGTCAAGCCAAATACAGCAAAATCTAACAGGACGTAGTGGAGGAGAAAAAAATTGGCTGGGTGGAAAGAAAAAAATGGGTGGGAGGAAAATATATATTTCTAAGTTTCTGCGTTCTCTCGCAAAGTTGTTTTGCGTTCCCTCGCAAAGATGTTTCTCCACTAACACTTCCTGTTCACTTCACTCATGTAAACCCTCTCGTTTTTGCCGAAACTCCCCCATATTTTACCATTCTACCCCACTTTATTTTCATTAAATCTGTGCATTGATCGTCGCCTTTCATATGCAACCTCTGAACCAGTGAATGCATGTATAAGCGCTGACTGACAGACGCGCTCAGTACAATAAACTCACTTGTTTGATAACAGAAGTGTCCCTTTAAATGGCGCGTACAGACGCTGTATTGTATTGTATGGAGCGCGTCGGTCAGTCAGCGCTTATACATGCATTCACTGGTTCAGAGGTAGCATATGAAAGGCGACGATCGACGCACAGTAATGTAAAGAAAGTGGGGTAGAATGGTAAAATACGGGAGAATTTCGGCAAAAACGGGAGGGTTAACGTGAGTGAAGTGAACAGGAAGTGTTTGTGGAGAAAATTTTTGAAAAGGAACGCAAAACTTTGCGAGGGAACGCAAAACATCTTTGCAAGGGAACGCAAAAACTTAGAAATATATATTTTCCTCCCAACCATTTTTTTTCTTTCGCCCAGCCAATTTTTTCTCCTCCACTACGTCCCTTCCGGGGTTCCGTATTCAAGTAAGTGCATTAATCAATAGCAATATTAAATCTTCATTCATTCATTTTCTTGTCGGCTTAGTCCCTTTATTAATCCGGGGTCGCCACAGCGGAATGAACCACCAACTTTTCCAGCATGTTTTTACGCAGCGGATGGCCTTCCAGCTGCAACCCATCTCTGGGAAACATCCACACATACACACATAAATACACCAAGGACAATTTAGCCTACCCAATTCACCTGTACCGCATGTGTTTGGACTGTGGGGGAGCACCCGGAGGAAACCCACACGAATGCAGGGAGAACATGCAAACTCCACACAGAAACGCCAACTGAGCCGAGGTTTGAACCAGTGCCTAAAGCATTCATTCAATGTCATTCGCTCATTTTTGGTGGAAGTGGCGTTTAGCTGCTTTTGCATCTGAACTTGCAACTTATTTTGTAAATATCTATCTCAGCTGTTATTTGAGGTTAAAGTTGCATTTTAAGCATCATTAATGCGAATTTGCTTAATCTGTGTTTAATTCTTGTTCTTATTATTTATCTGTTTTAGTACGTTTTTTCTGCTTTTTATTTTTGGATAAATCATAATGCATTTCGATGTACTTGTCAGTAATGTATTATTAGTGTTTATTAAAAATAAAATCTTACTATACAGACATTTGAACTGTAGTGAATGACAATTTACACCAAAATATAAAGCAGCATAATATTATTTAACATTAATGATAATTAACATTAAAATGTTTAAAATTATTAAAAAATTAGTGTTGTAAATGATTAATTATGACTAATTGCATACAAAATAAGTTTGCATTTACATACATTTTTGTGTTCTGTGTATATTTATTTATGTACAGTGCTCGGTATATATAAGTACACCTCTTTTACGAATGTCTCTCTTAAATTAATATGTTTAATAGGAAGCTCTACAATATTATATTTGTGAATATACAGTTGAAGTCAGAATTATTAGCCCCCCTGATTTTTTTCTTCTTTTTAAATATTTCCCAAATGATGTTTAACAGAGCAAGGAAATGTTCACAGTATGTCTGATAATATTTTGTCTTCTGGAGAAAGTCTTATTTGTTTTATTAGCCCCTTTAAGCTAGATATTTTTTTAGATAGTCTACAGAACAAACCATCATTATACAATGACTTGCCTAATTACCCTAACCTGCCTAGTTAATCTAATTAACCTAGTTAAGCCTTAAAATGTCACTTTAAGCTGTATAGAAGTGTCTTGAAAAATATCTAGTCAAATATTATTTACTGTCATCATGACAGAGAAAATAAATCAGTTTTTAGAAATCAGTTGTTAAAACTATTATGATAGAGTGGAGGAACTATGACGTCAATTTGTATGCAAAACCCGGAAGCGAGTTAGCATTTTAGCACTTCCGGTTCCCTCGTCCCAAAGTCAATGGGTTTTTTGTATGGGATTTCAGTAAAACGCTTAAATAAGGTCCGTGGCAAACACAAACTCAAGATACTTTCACGTTTTGTACTACGACATAAAACACATCAGTTACAGCACACTCTCGAATTTTTAATTTGGCCATGCTTCCTTAAAAAGACGGTTGCTATCAAGTTGCTAATTGGGACTACAGGCAGTGTCGGAGACATTAAACATCATCGAGCTGATCTGGTCTGGAGTGCAGCTCGCTTGTGTTGGGCATTTGGATTTGTCTGTTATTTAGGTATTTTCAGGAATAGTATTTTATAGTTTGTTGTGTTTTTCTAATTGGGAATTCAGATTGTGTAGATAATTCCTTCACTTGTAAAGGCTGTCGAGACAGATTCATTTGTTGATCATTTATTTTAATTAAATGATATTATGAAGATACTGCTCACCAGTGCAGCCTGTCTCTCTCCTGCCCTCAGTAATGCAAACGTGTGAATAAATGTGTAAAAATACAGACATATTAACTGTCGTTTTAACGTGATCAAGTGATTTTTTTCATAGTGTTTTCTTCATCTGAACACATTTAACTCTGTCATACCTGCAATATTTACACTCCATAAAATGTAAAGCAGATGTGACTGTATGGGCTGCTTTTCGCTGTAGTTCATGACATAAGAGGAATATTGAATGTTGATCTGTGTCCATCATGATGGAACTTAGGCATTTGATAGACTTGTTTCTCCTCACGCCTCATTTCTGTCGTCGCAGGCTGTGCACGCGAGCAATACACTTATTTAAATATGTCTTATGATAATACTATGTAGGCAGATTTATACACGCAGTTTTAAAACTTTTAGAACAACCGTAAAGCAAAACAGGTGTATTTCCCACGTATAAAAACAATCCAAAAGGCACATAGGTCTATGTGTGTTTGCGTATTTATTAGTTTATAATATATAGCGTGGATTATAATATAATAAACAGAGAGATTAACTCTTAGTCATGGACATTATTTCTAAATATAAGCTTGATAAGTTGTCTGTAGCAGGGTGGGGCTGACGTCACAGGCGAGCGCCCCGAGGGCTCTGCAGTCCATTTATAGCCTAATGTTAGCTTTTCAGTTCTTGCGTTGGCATTTAAGATCCAAAAATGCTCAAAGTTGTATTTTCGTGTGAGGATTATCCGGCTGGACAAAACATGTAAGTGTCATGAACAGTGTCTGAACACAGAGCTTATTATTCGCAATCTTCGAAAAGCCTATGGGAAAATCCTATAGGGATTTTCACGAGGGAACCAGTTTTATGCTAGCAGCCGATTAGCCTACAAAGTGACGTCATAGTTCCTCCACTCTATTAGACATGTGCTGAAAAAAAATCTGCTCTCCGTTAAACAGAAATCGGCGGAAAAAAAATAAACAAGGGGGCTAATAATTCTGACTTCAACTGTACATTAGATTAGTCAGTACTAAAGCCGAATCTGGAACAAAATAACTTGCGATAATGGTCCAAAAACTAGTACGACCAAATTTATATGTTATAGAAAAATATGAAATAAAAAATTTTAAAAAGAGGAAAAATCAAGAGAAGAAAAATGTAGTAATTATTTATTATTTTGCAATATTTTGCTTGAATTTAATTGTGTTATCTTTCTAAATGTTTGGTGACTGAAATATTATTTTAACAAATTTATCTGTTTACTAAACCTGTTTTTTCAAATGCATTGCCTATATTCACTGAGAAATGGAGGAAAATATTCATCTTCAAAATGGGCTGTACTCAATTACGCTGAGCACTGTATCTATAAACACACACATGCTGTATATACATGCAAAGAAAATATTGTTTTATATTTATATATATAACATAACATTATACATATTATTCATATATTTGTAAATATATTTAGACTGTATAAAAGCCTGTGTGTGCATTTGTAGTCACATAAAAAATATTCAAATTACAATTTCAGGTGTATTACAATAGAAAATGCCTTTTTAAACTGAGATTTTTGTTATTTCTGTATTTTTAATCAGATAAATACAGTATTCATTACACGAGAGACTACTTTCAAAAACATATAACATGCGTATTTGTTTTGGCACAACCTTTTGATCGTTGTAAATGCATAGTATGTCTGATTTCTCACATTACATATATATTTATCCTGTTTTTGTGTTGTTCCGCAGCACGTTTGTGTGTCCGACTGAGATCATCGCCTTCAGTGATCGTGTGCACGAGTTTCAGGCCATTAATGCAGAGGTGGTCGCTTGCTCGGTGGACTCTCAGTTTACTCATCTGGCCTGGTGAGAACAGCCACACTCTTACTTAAAGGGCACCTATGGTGAAAAATCTACTTTTCAAGTTGTCTGGACAGACATGTGTATAAGTATAGTGTATAGACCGTCATATTGGGGTGATATAAACACACACAGTCATTTTTTTTTTCAATTTAACGACATAAAAACGGTGGACCAATTGGAGCGGTTTTCAGATCGACCGCAACTTTATGTAGGAGTGTGCTCCCCCGCCCACCAATATTGATTGACAGGCGCGTGTCACCATATCCTCAGTTTGTCGTTTCACGTCCGCCATTTTCAGTGTGTGAGTCACAGCGGTGTCGCTAGAGGAACACCCTTGCTCTATTTTTAGATGTAAGGCTCATTCACAAGATCAGCATTCGGTAGGTTTGCAAACGTGTACTTTTCGTTGCATCTACCTTAAAGGGCCATGACACCCCCCACTTTCGGTTAAAGTCTACTTCAGAATTTTTTCAAAAGATGCATGATTAATGGGCGTGGAGCTCCGCGAGTAAAGGGCAGGAGTGGGCGTAGACCAGCAGGGGAGAGAACAACTGTTGTAGTCAGTTAGCTCACAAAATGAGGCAAACCATGAGGAGAAGCATGAGTTTATAGTTCACAAAGTTTAAATGCAAAGAAATAAACAGTAATTTAATGCCCTGCAACATTTGTTATTCGTAGTTTCATATACACATAACCATAATTTATATTATTATATAGATAGTCGTGTTTATGTAAACACTATAAATGAGGATTCTCCCTCGATCCCCGGGTCTAAAGTATAGATCTGAATGCAGAATCAGTGCAGCAGGTCTCCTGACCTGTCTATTTTAACCATTAGCCCTGTTGGTAATATAGAGGATTTGATAAACACAGCAGCATAGTGATGTGTCTGAATGTGAACGAACTCCTGATAAAAGTCAACGTCCGCCATTCTTCAATTCTCGTGCTGCTCTCCCGACAAAAATGCTTGCAGCACGCACACAGCTTTGCTGTATGATCGGCCCTGACAGGATCGCGGGGAAAAAAACATGCAACAAACCCCGTGGATCATGGAAACAAACACATACGAGCCTTCATGAACGGCTACTGCGTGCCGTGGGTCCGTGTCTCTCACCTTGCTTGAAACTGGCAGGTCTGCCTTCGGAAAGCACGTGCTCTCATGAATAATTAAGCAGCCGGCTCTTCTCATAGGATAAGAAAACTCCGCTATGAATAATAATGAGAAACCGACGCGTCATCATTGCACTTGCAGTACTGCGCTACGTCGCCGATTTTGATCCGCCCCAAAAATCATTTTAAACCCGGAAGCTGAAATTAGCAGACAAAAGCTCAACATTATCCAGTTTTCCCCACAATTAAAGCTGACAGGTGCTAACATTGTCTTAACTGATGCTCAACACACACACATCTGTTAATCTAAAAAAAAAAAGTTCTCCAGGGTGTCCTGAACCTTTAAACTTCAGCCATTTGCTGTGTGTGTGTGAGAGAGAGAACATTGTGTGTGTGTGTGTGTGTGTGTGTGTGTGTGTGTGTGTGTGTGTGTGTGTGTGTGTGTGTGTGTGTGTGTGTGTGTGAGTGTGAGTGTGTGAGAGAGAGAGAGAGAGAGAGAGAGAGAGAGCGCGAGCGTGCTTATGTGTGTGTCTTCATAAAGACAGCTTGTTATAGCCTGGCTGGACTGTATAGCTGGGTGGTTTTTCGGTTTTGTTCTCCCCCCGCTCGTTAGTGGGAAACGGGCGCGGCGGGTAGAAAACAGGGCGAGTCGGGCAGCAGGACACATGCTGAACATGAGCGGGAGCGTTCGAATTCGGGCTAGAACCTGGTGGGATTCAATATTTAGTCGAACATGCGAATGTCCGTGTCTGGGGTGCCGTGTCACAGCTGTTAATTAAGTGCGTGTGGTTATTAGTCTGTGTACAAGCTCGGCACTTTAAACTAGCACACAGTTTGCTGAGAAACTAAACAAAGACACGAATGATTGCGTACTCTCTGCTTGGTCTGTGGCCGAGGCTTAATGCTCATCTTCTCATGCAGCGTCTCTGTCTGCCTAGTTGTTCCCAAACACAGCGCGGGCGAGCTCTTGGCTCCGCCCCTTGATACGTTGGGCAGGAAAACCCCTAAAACAGCAGACTGTGTTCACGCCCCCAAAATAACACTTGAACACATTATAATAAAAACATCTGAACTGTGTGTTGAACTGAACCTAAACTGGCACACTCACAACAACCTTAATAGTAATATTAAATCATAAAAAAGGGGTAAACTATGTGCCCTTTAAAGTCACAGTGCGCTATATTCTTGCTGCTGATCGTGTTTGTCATAATTGATCAAATAAAAAAAGAGATGAGGAAAAAAATCACTTACTAATCTTGACTGAGGACTTTAATAATGGTAGGAAAAATAATGAAATAAAAAATAACGAGCATATCGTTTCATATTATGCTCTAGCATTTATATTAGGCTGTCACAAAATACATAGTTAGTACTTTCATACATTATTTATTATAATTTATATTAGCGCAATATTAATTACATGGCGCAACATTACATGGATGCAGATAGAGACATGACATTTCCCCAATTTCTGTTTAACAGAGAAATTAGCAACACATTTCTAATAATAATAGTTTTAATACTCATCTCTAATAACTAATTTTCTCTAATTTTCTCTGTCATGATGACAGAATAATATTTGACTAGATATTCTTCAGGATACTAGTATTCAGCTTAAAGTGACATTTAAAGGCTTTACTAGGTTAATTAGGTTAAAGTTAGGGTAATTAAATAAAAATCTGCTTTTATTCTAGCTGAAATAAAACAAATAAGACTTTCTCCAGAAGAAAAAATATTCTAGGAAATACTGTGTTAAACATCATTTGGGAAATATTTGAAAAAGGAAAAACAAATTCGCAGGAGGGCGAACGGTATATAACCGTGTGTGTGTGTGTGTGTGTGTGTGCGTGTGCGTGCGTGCGTGCGTGCGTGTGTGTGCGCACGTGCGTGTGTGCGTGTGCGTGCGTGCGTACGTGTGTGCGTGTGTGTTATCAGGATCAACACACCAAGGAAACAAGGAGGTTTGGGACCAATGAAGATTCCTCTTCTTTCTGACCTCACTCATCAGATCTCCAAAGACTATGGCGTCTTTCTTGAGGATCAGGGACACACACTCAGGTACTGACACGGGTCTTGTGTGTGTGTTTTATTTGTTTTAAAACTGAGTTGAATTGTCACTGATTCAGGTGTTTTTTCTGATATTTAAACAGTTGAATTAGTAGAATTTTTCATTAATTTTAAAATATTTCCCAAATGATGTTTAACAGAGCAAGGAAATTTTCACAGTATGTCTGATAATATTTTGTCTTCTGGAGAAAGTCTTATTTGCTTTATTTCGGCTAGAATAAAAGCAGTTTTAATAAAAAATAATAATTTTAGGGTCAAAATTATTAGCCCCTTTAAGCTATATTTTACCCAGATAATCTACAGAACAAACCATCATTATACAATGACTTGCCTAATTACCCTAACCTGCCTAGTTAACCTAATTAACCTAGTTAAGCCTTTAAATGTCACTTAAAGCTGTATAGAAGTGTCTTGAAGAATATTTAATTCAATTCAGCTTTATTTGTATAGCACTTTTACAATGTAGATTGTGTCAAAGCAGCTTCACATAAATGGTCATAGTAACTGGAACAGGTAGTTCAGTTTTTAAGTGTTTAAGTTCAGTTCAGTTTAGCTCAGTTCTGTGTGTTTTAATAATCATTACTGAGAGTCCAAACACTGAAGAGCAAATTCATCGATGCGTAGCTCTACAGATCCCGAACCATGCAAGTTGGAGGCGACAGCGGAGAGGGAAAAAAAACTTCACCAATTGGCGAAAGTGAAGAAAAAAAACCTTGAGAGAACCAGACTCAGTTGTTCACAACCATTTTAATTTCTCCGCTGGCCAAACGTCTTGTGCTGAGCTGCAGTCTCAGCAGTGGAGGCTGGAAGCTGGCCTCAGCGAAGACTTGTCTGTCCCTGGAGCGTCACTGGAATCAGTCTCATGCTCTCCACTCCTCCACGACCAGCGCAGCAGCTGCTCAGGATACGGCCTGGTCCAGGGTATGGAAACCTTGGGATCATCTCGTTGCTGGTCTTGGATCCAATCAGTGACTGCATAATCTGAGGACCTCGGATGAGTATCCCCAGGTGGAAATGGAGAATGAAGAGAATAATTAGCGTAGCTGCTGTTCATAGTGTATATAAGCAAGATGCAGAAACCTGTGAGGAAACCCGCTAAGTGATGCATTGACTGTACGCTTTACTAAAAACACAGGTCTTTAATCTAGTTTTGAACTGGGAGAGTGTGTCTGAGCCTCAGACGTTATCAGGAAGGCTATTCCAGAGTGTAGGAGCCATAAACGAGAACGCTCGACCTCCTTTACTCGACTTTGCTATTCTAGGTACTACCAGAAGCCCTGAATTTTGAGATCTTAAAGAGCGAGCTGGATTGTAGCGAGACAGAAGGTTGGTTAGATAAACAGGAGCTAGATTATGTAGAGCTTTATAGGTGAGAAGTAATGTTTTAAATTCAATGTGAAACTGAACAGGCAGCCAGTGTAAGGAGGATAAAATTGGTGTGATTTGATCATATTTTCTAGACCTGGTCAGAACTCTGGCTGCTGTATTTTGTACTAACTGAAGTTTGTAAATAGAGGATGCTGGGCAGCCAGTGATCAGAGCATTACAGTAATCCAGCCTAGAAGTCATAAAAGCATGGACTAGCTTTTCTGCATCAGAGATGGATAGCATACTCCGTAACTTATGGCCCGTTTCCACTGAGTGGTACGGTACGGTTCGGTTTGGTATGCTTTTATGGCTGTTTCCACTGTGAAAATGCGTACCGAACCAAACCATACCGCACCACTTTTTCGGCACCCTTTCGAAAGGGTCCCAAACACAAGAAAGGGGTACCAAAAAGCGGAGCTAGACGCACAGATGAACGCTATTGGTTTACAGAGATACATCATTTGCATAAAAGCGTACCAAACCAAACCGTACCGGATCGTACCACTCAGTGGAAACGGGCCATTAGACATTTCAGACATCTCATCAGGTTTAGTTGAAATATATAATAGAGTATCATCTGCATAGCAGTGAAAGCTGATCCCAAAATATCCAGTCAAATATTATTTACTGTCTTCATGACAAAGATAAAATAAATCAGTTATTAGAGATGAGTTATTAAAATTATTATGTTTAGAAATGTGCTAAACAAATCTTCTCTCCGTTAAACAGAAATTGGGGAAAAATAAAGAGGGTGGCTGATAATTAATTTGACCTTTTAAAATGGGTTAAAAAAAAATTCTTTCTCCAGAAGAAAAAAATATGATCAGACATACTGTGAAAATGTCCTTGCTCTGATAAACATAACTTGTGAAATATTTAAAAGGAGCTTAACAGCTGCTTCTGCAAAATAACATAATTGGGTGACATTGACAGTAAAATAGGTGTAGTTTAGTTGTGAATAATCTTTTAATAATTATTTATATTTAATATTTAATTGTTTATTAACATTAGTTAATGAAAATAGTTAACTTACTGCAGTGGTTCTCAAAGGGGGGGTCGGGGCCCCCTGGGGGGCCGCGGGACAATGACAAGGGGTCGCTTGGTGATATCCAAAACTCAAATAAATTTTATTAAACTATCAGAATTACCATATTTTACTCATAACCGACAGAATATAGTTAATAGTTGCATTAAAGAAACAACAACATAAAAATAACAATCAGCCATCAGCCTTTAATTTTAAAAGCAAAATGTAATTAAATCCATAAATGACTTTAAAAAACATTATATGGCTAATAGACTGTTGCATTTTTGTGTTGTCAATAAGCTCATGTTTATATTTGCCTATAGTTGTGTCTGCAACGTTTACATATTTACAGTACAACCACCTTGAAAAATGGGGGTCGCGAGCCACTGATATGATTATTTTTGGGGTTGCGGGCTGAAAAGTTTGAGAACCTCTGACTTACTGTACATTAATACTGTTAACTTACAGTACATTAATATTAACAAACACAATTTTAATAACGCATTAGTATATGTTGAACTGCGATTATTAAAGGATGTACACGCATTGTTCATTGGTTTAGTTGTTTGTTTTAGTTGATTGCTTTACAGTTTATTAAATACATTAACTACCAAGTGAAACTGCCAGGTGAAAATGTTACATTTTAAAAAGTCTTACAATATGACTTAATATGGAACCTTTTTACAAGACTGTTATGAAGCGTTTAACAGTCATCAGCATCTGAAATCCTTGAAAGTTGTTAAAAATAAACATGTGAACATTTATATGTATTTATGTATGAATGATGTCATCTTTGCATCAAATTACTATAAAACATTAACGCTTAAGTGAGGTGTTTCTAAAGGCTGATTTATACCTCTGCGTCAAGCGTACGCGTATGCTACGGCGCAGCCTATGCGTCGACGCACAGCCCTACGCCGTGGCCATCGGCGTCACTGACGTGCATCTCTCAAAAAATGTAACTAGACGTCGCAACGACACGTAGCGCAAGCTCTGGGATTGGTCGGCTTGGTAGCGCTGACGAGTCTAGGCGAGCCAGATGGAGCGATTGTTTACAAGTGTGGAGTCCCGTGAAGAAGCTCTGGATGGAAAGTTTAGTTTTGTGTTCACCTCATAGTTAAAGTTGTTGCACGTCTGCTGGTTCCTGCCTCAAAATGAGCGAGTTTGAGCCACTTGTACATCCCGGAAAACACCAGCGAAGAAACTCGACACAGACACATTTACACCTCACTGCCAACTAGCGTTTTGGAAGTGTTAATGCAGACCAACAGAGAGAGCGCACAGAAGTATAAATGCACAGCTACGCGTGTTGCATGCGCTGTTGGTTACGCCGGTCACAACGCAGAAGTATAAATCAGGCTTAATGCAGTAGTTATGGGGGCAGCACAGTATTTCTGACATTATTCTCTGTTCTGTCTGCCGTTATCAGTCTCACACTATTGTTTCCTTTTTTCTGGAAGTCTTGACAACACTATTGTGGAGTTTTTCTTTTATTATTTCAGCACATGGGATGGTTGTTCTCTTCCATTCACTGCGCTCTAAGTTTACCAACTATGACGACTTCACTGCTGAGAAACCTTCAAATATAAAAAGGGTCCACTATTTAATAAAACGATAAATAATTATTATTCCAGAAGTTTCTGTTTCGGCCTAGACTTTTCATTTCAGTGTGTCTTTAGTTTTTTTTTTTTTTGTGTTCTTTATGCTAATTAAAATAATAAAAAGTTTTAGGAACTGTTCACTGAAATGTTTTTTAAGAACCGAAAACAGTTCCTCATTGGCATTTGTGTTTCAGAGGTCTCTTCATCATCGATGATAAAGGTGTCCTCAGACAGATCACTATGAATGACCTGCCGGTGGGCCGATCGGTGGACGAGACCCTCAGACTGGTGCAGGCCTTCCAGTACACGGATAAACATGGAGAAGGTACAGCATTTATACAACACACACTGCCTCAATGCACATTAAATATATTTACTTATTTATCTAGAAATAAATTGCATGTATCAAAAGATGATAATCAAATTGTTTACTAACAAACATTCATTAGAGTAATAAATAGAAATATAAATGATAACAGTGTTTACTGGAGTTGCCCTAGCTAAAACATTGATTTATGATTTATTAATTAAATAAAAATTCTATTCAAATAAATAAGTAAATAAATAAACAATCAAGTAAATAAACAAGTAAATACTTAAACAAGCAAGTAAATAAGTAAATCAATAAACAAGCAAAGTAAATTAAATACGTAAATAAATAAACAAGCAAAGTAAATTAATCAAGTAAATAAATAAACAAGAAAGTAAATAAACTAGTAAATCAATAAACAAGCAAGTAAACGAGTAAATCAATAAACAAGCAAGTAAATAAACAAATGAATAAACAGGTAAATAAATTAGTTAATCAATAAACAAGCAAGTAAATAAACAAATAAATGAATAAACGGGTAAATAAATAAGTAAATCAATAAACAAGCAAGTAAATAAATAAACAAGCAAGTAAATGAACGAACTAGTTAATTTAATGAGTGAATAAATAAGCAAGTAAATAAATAAACAAGCAAGTAAATAAATGAGTAAATCAGTAAACAAGCAAAGTAAATTAAGTAAATAAATAAACAAGCAGGTAAATAAACAAGTAAATAAATAAACACGCAAGTAAATAAGTAAATCAATAAACAAACAAGTAAAAAAATAAACAAGAAAGTAAATTAAATAAGTAAATTAACAAACATTCAAGTAAAAAAGTAAATCAATAAACAAGCAAGTAAATAAATAAACTAGTAAATTAAATGAGTAAATAAATAAGGAAGTAAATAAATAAGTAAATTAACAAACATTCAAGTAAAAAAGTAAATCAATAAACAAGCAAGTAAATAAACAAACAAGTAAATATGTAAATTAATAAATAAGCAAGTAAATTAAATAAGTAAATAAACAAACAAGCAAGTAAATAAGTAAATCAATAAACAAGCAAGTAAATAAACAAACAAGTAAATATGTAAATTAATAAATAAGCAAGTAAATTAAATAAGTAAATAAACAAACAAGCAAGTAAATAAATAAGTAAATCAATAAACAAGCAAGTAAATAAACAAACAAGTAAATATGTAAATAAATAAACAAGCAAGTAAATTAAATAAGTAAATAAACAAACAAGCAAGTAAATAAATAGGTAAATCAATAAACAAGCAAGTAAATAAACAAACAAATAAATATGTAAATAAATAAACAAGCAAGTAAATTAAATAAGTAAATAAACAAACAAGTAAATAAATAAGTAAATCAATAAACAAGCAAGTAAATAAACAAACAAGTAAATATGTAAATAAATAAACAAGCAAGTAAATTAAATAAGTAAAATAACAATCAAGTAAATAAATAAACAAGCAAGTAAATTAACAAACAAGCAAGTAAATTAAATAAGTAAATCAATAAATGAGTAAATCAATAAACAAGTAAGTAAATAAATGAGTAAATCAATAAACAAGCAAGTAAATAAACAAACAAGTAAATATGTAAATAAATAAACAAGCAAGTAAATTAAATAAGTAAATTAACAAACAATCAAGTAAATAAATAAACAAGCAAGTAAATTAAATAAGTAAATAAATAAATGAGTAAATCAATAAACAAGCAAGTAAATAAACAAGTAAATGAATAAATAAGCAAGTAAATAAACAAGTAAATGAATAAATAAGCAAGTAAATAAACAAGTAAATGAATAAATAAGGAAGTAAATAAATACATAAATTAAAAAAGCAAGTAAATAAATAATTAAGCAAGTAAATAAATAAATAAACTGTAAATGTGTTTTTGTTTAACTGTTTCTGACTGTCTGTCTTCTTCTTTCAGTGTGTCCAGCTGGATGGAAACCCGGCAGTGATACGGTAAGATACGCGTGTGTGTGTGTGCGTGCGCACATGTTTCTGTGTGTTTCTATGTAAATATTGTGTTGACTGATCCCATCTCTCAGTATCTCTCTATATCTCTCCTGTTTCCGCACAGATTATCCCCGACCCTGCAGGCAAACTCAAGTACTTTGATAAACTCAACTGAGCTTAATGTTTCACTAAAGGGGCTTTGTTTTGTTTTGTTCTGGTTTCTGCCTTCAAAAGTACAGAATGAATAAAAGGGGAGTTTTGATAAACCTGCTTTTGTTTTGTTCCTGCAGTTTGTCTGATCGTTCATGTGCATGAGAAAAAAATAGGGAAATCTTAGAGGATGTAGAAAATTATATTCAGAAAGTCACTGGGTATGATGATAACAGTGTGCAACTAGAAAGCTGCATTCAAAATTCAGACGTTATTGTGTTATTGGAAATATTTGTGTCAGGGATATTAAGAAAATAAATACAAATCAATCAAAAAATACCAATTTTGTATATTTTTTGCACAGGTATTTGCTTTTTTTTTTTAGTTTTTTGGTTATAAAACTAAAGTACATTGAACAAATCAATTAAGACAAGGCAAGCTTATTTATAAAGCACAAGTCCATACATGATGATCATTCAAAGTATAAGAAAATAAAATAACAGAGAATAAAGTATTAAAAACTGATTAAAATGTGTTAAAACAGGTTACAAAGGAATGAAAAAGAAAAAGACATAATGGTGTGATCTGTCAGACGTAGTTGTCACGTTTGGTGTGGGGAAAAAGGAGCGAGGACCCAAGCGCAGAGTGAAGTAGTATTTATTTATAATAAAATAAAATAAAAGGCAAAAATGAACAACCCCAAGGGGGAAAACACTAATAAAACAAATAAACAAACAAACTTGACTGGACAGGCACGACAAGGCAGGGCTGGATACAGCAGGGGTCCGTTCTTCGTACCTCGCTTAAATGATCTAAGATGATTTGGCAGATTCTGGATCTTTTAATCTTGATAACTGATCTCTGGCTAATTTGGTTCTTCAAACAAGTTCGCGAATCAGATTAGATCGTCTGGATAAACTGCTCTGAGATCGCTGCGTGTGTTGTGATGGACAGATCTATCGATCCTCGAAAACATGATCCGCAATGCAGCGATTGGCTGACGGCACAGCAGCGTAATGACATCATCTGATTAATATTCAATTATCCATGTGAGCAAAATTACATCAAATTAGCAGTAAACGGTTTGTTAAATATGACACGCAATAACCTTCCACATTTGTTGTGAACTGCAGGCTTTACACTTTCATGTGTCAAGAGTATTCATGTATTTCAATGCAAATCAATGTATTTAGTTCTACATTTAGAAAAGATTTTCTTTATTATAGTAGCCGTTTTTTAATTGGTGTAAAGAATAACTGGTTGTTTACAAAAGCATTTTCATATTGGTAAAGGCGTCTGCAACTTTTGTGAAGCATCAAATCACCGGCATATTAACTATCAAAACATGTTTATGACTGCTGAAATGTATTATTGCTTTAAAAAAGTGACATATTGTGCATTTCTATTATACACAATTTGTACTAAAGCGATCTAAAACGTTCATATCAATAAGTTTTCTATTTGCACCACCAGGTGGCAGTCTTTGTACTTTCATTTCGAGGGTGCAAATTGCATAAGTTTTATTAATATGTATAACTTTATTTTTTATTAATAACTATAACTTTATATATATAGTTAAAAAATATGTAACATTTCCCCAAGTGTATATAACTACTACTGTAAGAAAATATCAGAAGTGGGAACATACTTTCTGTATTATCTTTGCTTGAACAAGCCGATCTAATCCTGTTTATATGAATTGAACCTGCTCCCAATCAGGTTTGACCTAGCAGAACTGTTGCTATGACAACAACTCTCAGATCAGCTTTGAAGAACGAAACGATCCTGGATCGTGTCAAATCGTCAATATCCAAATCCAGCTAACTGAGTAATCCACGTACGAAGAACGGACCCCAGGACAAGTAAAGATCGACGATGAACTGGCACAGGACTGAAAACATGAGAGGATTATAAAGCAAAAGTAAATTGACACACAGGTGAACATGACAAACTAATAATGAGTTAACAAGGAGGGTGGGACTAGACAATAGACGGGAGAGCGCATGACACAGAGAGACATCACACGCCATGCGCTCACATAACACAGGACAAGAACATGCAGCCAATGAGAAAACTCATTAACCGCATGTTCATGACAACACAAGCACAACACGGAAGCACAGCACAAAAGCACGTGACCACAATGTAAACACCAAGCCACGTGCTTTGACAACAGACGAAAGGCACGAGCACACGATGACTGAAAACACTCACCGTGCACTCACACACGCAGCGTGCATGCTTCATCTCAGCGCCGACCAAAACCGAAACCAACTAGACTGAGACGCTGGAAATGAAACACCACGCTGCAGACAGACAAAAACACAAACACGAGTACAAGAGCGCACGCGTCTGAGGCACGCAAAGCCCACGCGACCGCATCAAGCGGAAGCGCGCACACTCCGCGTACACCCACGACAGCGCGCGCGCACACAATGACAGAAACAGGACCAGACACAGCTAGTGTCAGAGCTCTGCCACCAAAACAAGAATTTCCAAGACCAGAGTGGCAGAACCCCGACAGTAGCTCAGTGCTCATTCAGTAAAGGCACAGCTAAACAGATGCGTTTTCAGTCTTGATGTGAACCAAAGTCTCTTTAAGGCAAGCCATTTCACTCGGTGGCCATCTTTCTGCCTCTCAGGCAGCTCGGGCATTCTGTTTGAATGGGGAATCATCAGATTCTCCAAAACTGCTTGCCAAGCTTACGATTACATTCCATATTATAAATAACCAATAAAATTAAACAACAACTGTCTATTTAGTGTCATTTTTAAATGTTTGTATTGCATGAAATCTGCAGAAACTCACATCTGGTCCCTCCCCCGGAGAGTTGTCATTCTATATCGATGTCTGATTGGCTCCTGTACTAGAAGGCGGGCTTTATTCGCCATATAGCGATCGCTGATTGGCTCCTGTGTTTCCCCATTCAAAAATATACGAGTGACTTGTCTTGTGCATTCTATAGTCTTTGTGTGAACGTGCCTAATGTTGGAGCACATCTGATCATTTCTGGAAGCTGATTCCAGCAGTGGGGGGCGCTGTTAGTAGCTGAGGGCTGATTCACCCTGCTCTGACTGAACTCATGGAATTTCTAGTTTATATATATATAAATATATATATAAATAAATATATATATATATATATATATATATATATATATTACAGATTTGATGACTGAATACAAACCCAACAGATCACTCAGATCTTTAGGATAAACTATATATATATATATATATATATATATATATATATATATATATATATATATATATATATATATATATTTATTTATTTATTTATTTATTTATTTTTTTATATTCATGTATATATATTTAAATATATACATATATATATATATATTTAAAAGATCCATAAAACATAAAAAAGACAAACCATAAAAACTCAACTTAAATAAAAATAAAATGTCAAAATACAAAACAAAAATATAATAAAAAGTAGTGTACTTAACTAAGACTCATACCATAAAAACACTTTTTTAATGTTAAATTATTAACTCAAATTAAATAGTTTAAAAACCTTGAAAATTAATAAAAAACTATGTAGATATTCAAAAGATAGGGTCAGTTGGCATTTCTGTGTGGAGTTTGCATGTTCTCCTCATGTTGGTGTGGGTTTCCTCCGGGTGCGCCGGTTTCCCCCAAAGTCCAAACACATCCGCTATAGGGGAATTGATGAACTTAGTGTGTAAGTATGAATGAGTGTGTATAGATGTTTCCCAGTACTGGGTTGTGGCTGGAAGGGCATCCGCTGTGTAAAACGAAAGCTGGAATAGTTGGAAGTTCATTCCGCTGTGGCGACCCCTGATGAATAAGGGACTAAGCCAAAGGAAAATGAATGAATGTTTTGTTAAGTGAATTAATTGTTATATGAATGATGTCTGAAATCTAATGATATTTGAACTTCTGTCCCTACAATACAAGTTCTGTAAGTTTCTAACTTAAATCATTAAACATAATCATTTATTGGTGAAAATTTTGAAAACACTGAAATTATAAGTAAATCTATCAGCTTGATGATTGTGACACTAGAGGGCGACGTGGATGCAGAATTTCTGCATTTGAAGATGCAGTTGAACTCAGAATTGTTCATCCTCCTGTTAAATTTCAATTACTTATTAGTATTTCCCCAATTTCTGTTTAACAGAGAGATACACATCTCTAAAGATGATAGTTTGAATAACTCATCTCTAATAACTGATTTATTTTATCTTTGCCATGATGACAGCACATAATATTAGACTAGATATTCTTCAAGATACGAGTGTTCAGCTTACAGTGACGTTTAAAGGCTTAACTAGGTTAATTAGGGTGATTAGGCAAGTCATTGTATAACAGTGGTTTGTTATGGAGACAATCCAAAACAAATATTGCTTAAAGGGGCTAATAATATTGACCTTAAAATGGTGTTTAAAAAAAAAAAAAACAGCTTTTATTCTAGCCGAAATAAAACAAATAAGACTTTCTCCAGAAGAAACAAATGTGATGGGAAATACTGTGAAAAAATCCTGAATCTGTTTAACATCATTTGGGAAATAGAAGAATAAATATTGCACAGGGGGCCAATAGCTTTGCCCTCAATTGTATATGGTAACTTCATTGACATTGATTACGAACAGTATACATTTTCTTTAAGTCATAAAAGTTCATAAGTATTGTAATAACCCCCAGTAAAACCTCCAGACCCCAGTAAATACCAGACCTCACTGAGTATTTCAGGCCGTACTCACACTAGGTACAGTTGCCTCGAACCGGGCCAAAGCACGCTTGTCCCCCCTCCCGTCTCCCCCGACGGCCCGCGCTCACACCACAAAGGGCTTCGGCATGCTTACGTCATCGCTGCTGCGCTGTTCAGTGAGAAGCGCTCTCTCACTCTGCAGCACAGTGGAGATTTCTCTAGTTATATAGTTTCAGTCGTTTGATATGCCGTCAAATATTTCGCCAAACAGTCCTTAGGGATGCGGGGACACGCAGTCAGATATTTCGCCGAACAGATCCGCCACTTTTGGCGCTCATAAACAATTATAAAGCCCTCGTGCTGCAGGAATGAGGAGGTCTGCTGAAGCCGCGCAGCTGTCGTGCAGTGAGGGGTTTGCGT